CGGAACAAACGAAAACGGAAAGGATAAACGTAATACTATTTAAACAATTAAAATATTAATTTAAAATTTTTTAAAATTAAAAGACTAAAATGAACGCCAAAATAAAGTTAAAGGATAAAAAATAATGTTTTGCCTATATATTTTTATTGCAAGGATAATTTATGTAATTTTAAAATAAATAAAAAATCAATAAAACTAATCTGGTTGTGATTATACTAATATTATAAGCTTTTCACCGTTTGGGATTCTAATTGTTTCTCCATATGCATTAAACCCTAGCCAAATCATTTATTTCATCTCTCAATTTTTTGTTTCCTTTTCACAGTTACTACGTCTACCTGCGAATCAAGAACTTATTGTCGACAAGGTAAAGGTTTAAGAAATTTTTATGATATTTCCGTTTCTGGACGAGTGAAAAGGTATAATCCAATCTCTTTTTTTTTCTTTCTTTTATGTATATCTGGTTGAGTTAAAGAAATTATTTTGTGGTGAATGGAAAACAATCCCTTCAAAGAATTTGCATATAAGGGAAACAGTGAAGTTGAGAATCCAAAGAGGGTGTTTTTGTCTCCTTATTTTCCGTACAAGGGAAGTAGAAGGAACAATTTTTATGATTCTTGTTCTTCAAGGAAGGTGTCCAAGTATTTTCCGAAAGTTCAAGGGTCTAAAGTGGATGGTGATTCTTGTCCTTCTAGGAAGGTGTCGAAACATTTTCAGGAAGTTGGAGAGTCTAAAGTGGACAAATCCCGTCGTTCGTCAAAACATTCTAAAGGGGGCGAGTCTTGTCCATCAAGGAAGGTGTCAAAGTATTTTCTAAAATTTGAAGATTCTAAAGCAGATGATGCTTGTCGTTCTAGGAAGGTATCAAAACATTTGCGGGAAGTTGAAGATTCTAAAGTGGGTGGTGATTCTTGTTGTTCAAGGAAGGTGTCAAAGTATTTTGTGAAAGTTGAAGATTCTAAAGCGGACGATTCTTGTCGTCCTAGGAAGGTGTCGAAACATTTTCGGGATGTTGAAGAGTCTAAAGTTGGTGATTCTTGTTGTTCTAGGAAGGCGTCGAAACATTTTCGGGAAGTTGAAGAGTCTAAAGTGGGTGATTCTTGTCCTTCAAGAAAGGCGTCAAAGTATTTTGTGAAAGTTGAAGATTCTATAGTGGACAATTCTTGTCCTTCTAGGAATGTGTTGGAGGAAGTTGAAGAATCTAAAGTGAATTATCAAAAGAGAGTGTCTCCTTGTCCTTCTAGAAAGGTTAAGAACAATTGTACGAAGAAGAGTGTGACAGGTTTCAGAAAGTGTGTTAAGAAGAGGAAATGTGAAACAACTGGATTAACTGAAAATTTGAAAGGCGAAGATTCTTCTTGTTTGGCAAAGATCTATCAATATTTAGATAAAGCTGAAGAGATTATAATTAAGGGTAGTTTGTTACTTCAAAAGGTCTCTGACTCCTCTAGAGGAGGGTATAAAGCTGAAGAAAAGTGTATGAAGGATATTAGTGATTTTTTAAATCAATATGTATACCATGGTAGGAGTGTGTCGATTCTAAGAAAGCGTATTAAGAAGAGTGAATCTGAAAATTTAGAAGAGCGTGGTTCTGAATATGAAGAGGCTAAAGTTAAGTTTGAATCGTTACTTGGAGTTATATCCAAGTCTTTTCAAGAGGGGCCTAAAGTTGAAGAGGGTTCGTCTCTTCCTCCTAAAATGAAATCCAAAAGTCGTGGTAAAAAAACTCAACCTTTTCTTAAGGCTGAGAGATATAAGGAAGCTTACAAAAGAAAAACTCCGGAAAACAGTTGGCTGCCTCCGCGTTCTCATTGGAATCTCATTCAAGAGGATCATTTTCATGATCCATGGAGAGTGTTAGTTATCTGTATGCTACTAAACCGAACTACTGGTGCACAGGTACATTCCTTATGTTTTATGCCCGTGTTTTCCTGTTGGCCCTGGCCTTATTGTATTCTGTTTTCTATTTTGCTTCAGAAGGCTTAACTGCTATAATGCTCTTAGGGTCTTGCTTAGGAAATTATAATTAATAATTTTCGTCTGAACTGTTGCTTCTATTAATGTTGAAAGTATGCACGTCTTCCATGTCGGTTATGCACTTCCCTTGTCTTAAATCTCTCCAATGTAGTCACACGAAATAGCCTTGTCAGCCCCCGATTAGTCCAATGTACTTAAATAATAGTTTTTTGCTGATCTGTTGCTTCTTTTAGAAGCTTGTCGATGACTTAATTTCGTTTATACAGTGATGTTTTCCTATCAAATTAGTCCAGTGTTCATTTGATGCTGTTTGATGATATTGGAGGGAATGTCAACATCTCAGATGATCACACTTCAAGTGTGAAACTTTTACTTTCGTTTTCTGCAGTGTGCTAATAACTTTTCTGCTTTTGTATGTATCCATCTGATGATTTTAAGATAAGATAAGCTTATTTTGCAAAATGCAGACCAAAAAAATTATAGACGAGTTTTTCAAGTTATGTCCGGACGCAGAGTCTTGTATGCAAGTATCAAGAGAAGAGATACAAGAGGTAATAAAGACATTAGGTCTTCAAGTAAAAAGGTCGGCAATGCTGCAACGCCTTTCTTGCGAATACTTGTCTGATAGTTGGACCCATGTAACTGAACTGCATAGTGTTGGCAAGTATGTTCTCTTTTATCATGTGTGGATTGTGTCGTTTCGATCGAGGTTTGAATAACGTGTTAAATGCGGTATTTGAATCAGGTATGCGGCGGATGCTTATGCTATATTTTGTACTGGAAAGTGGGATCAAGTTGTGCCAAATGATCACATGCTCAACAAATATTGGGATTTCCTTCATACATTGTGAATTTCACTAGACTGCTGCTGATGAAGGGAAAACTCATAGTTTTGACAAAACAGAAATTGGTTTTGGTTTGTAAAAACTTTAAAACATAAAAAAGAGAATCACCATGTTCAGTTTGTTTTCTGTTTTTAAAAATCAAAACTAATTGTCTATATTTTAGCATATAATAGGGAAAAAAAAACTAAAATAAGTACATTAATTTAATACAATTAATCATCATTTTTATTATAATTAATTGAAAAAATATCGTTAAATTGGCTTAATTGATATTTATGTAAAACAAATTGATTGGAGAGTGCCAATTTAAATTCATGACATTCTATTTTCACTTTTAAATAATAAAAAATTTGTTCATTAAACATGTAGACCCAAAAAAAAATTAAAGAATATTAAGAATGGTATTAAAAATATTTTCAAATGTTTTTAAGATGTGAAATACCAAATACTAATAAAGTATGTAATATAAAATTATAAATATAAAGTGTTTGAACTGAAACCAAAACAAGAAATGGAATATTCTTCTTATAAATCCTATGGCTACATTTTTTAATTCTAATTTCACAATTAGATACCAATTTTTCCACTAAATAATTAATGTTATTATTTTTATATCTATATGTTATTTTTTTTTTAGTTTTAATTTTGCTCTTCTTCAATTCATACTATTAAAATATTTTGAGGAAGAATTTTGTCATCTATTATAATTTTTTCCTATGAGTAGTCTTGATAATTGATAGTTGTGCAGAAAAAATACCTAATTTATTTAACTTTAATGATTTAATTATCACTATTTCTCGACCCATCAGCTAACTTTTTTTTTTTTAATTCTGATTATTTAATTGTTATTATTTCTTAACCGTCAATTAACTTTTTTAGTTCTAATTTCATTTTTCTTTAATTCATGCTATTTTATTTCAATTCCAAACATAAGGATCACAAAAAATTATTCCAATTCAAAATACATACCTAACAAAATTATTCTATTTCAATTAAGGAATATAAAAATTAAATTTTAATTCAGAAACAATACATCCTAGTAAATCTAAATAAGAATGAAAGAGAGATTTAAACCTCTCCAAAAAAATAATAGAAGTTAAGAATGGATAGCCAAGATAACACATTTTCTCAAACATTATATTATTTTTTATCAAAATTTTGTATTCATTACAAAATGTCAAATTAACCACAAAAAAGTGTTCACGTCACAAAAAAAATATATGAACTCTTCTAATAGCATTCTCTATCATAAATTAGCATTAGATAACCAAAAAATATATAAACAACTCTAAACTGCCTTCTATATATCATAAGTCAATTAAAGGTACATAAGTTAAAGGACACATAATATGAGATGAAAATAATATCTATTTATTGATAATAATGATATTATTTTCTATAGCCTTTAAACTTTTTAAAATTATAATCATAAAAAGATAAAATGAGTAAATGAAAAATATCTATTTACTATTTTTTTTGTGACAGGGATCATAGAGTGTATTTTGTAACAGGGATCATGGAGTATGTACAACAATCAAAGAACCTGTCTTTTAGAAGGGAGTCCACAAAATTAATTTTTTCATTTCCATTCAATAACAAATACATACGTGTATAAAAATTTGTGCTTTTGAGTCTTCTGAGGATTCTCTAAAGTTCTTTGCAGACCTTTCAAACAAACAAAAATGTAATACTACGTGTAAAAGTAATAAACAACCAAAATATCATTCAAATTTAGAAGACAAATGGCTCACAACTAGCAATCAAAATTCCTTTCGATAAATGCATATCCAAGGATATTAAATCTGAATTCATATGAAAATAGCATGAACAAAATAGAAGTGCAACTTCGTCTGTCACATTTGTTTACATAATTAAAGTTTGAGAGCAAATACAATCTATTATTTTCTTCAATGTCTCACACTAATAATCATGTAAAAAAATTTATTTCAAATACTATCAGTAACATATGATTCAAAGAAAATAAAGAGTAACAAAACTCTTATTTGAAAAAGCAACAACTTAATTCAACTAGATATTAAAAATGTCTTAGCGCTAAATATATGTTGTGAGAGTAACCACTCTGATAAATAGCTAAATATCAAACAAACCGAGTTCATAACAGAAAATTCTCTACCTAATAATTTGTATATCAACAAATTTTACATTGTTAAATTACCTCTATAATCTCACTAGTTCACGTTTCAAAGCTTGTCGATGACCATAATCCAATAATTTAGCATGAGAGACAAATGGTAACTTCTCCTAGATAGAAAAAAGAAATCATGCTAATAACAAATTTCACTCACATATATAAAAAAAATTAAAAGTGAAATATATACATTTACCTGGTTAGACATAGTTTGCCACATTTGAAACCCTAATCTCTCAACTTCAATATTACTTTCCATCTCTTTTCCTTTGCTGAAGCTTTCCCTGATAAAGAAAGTTAATGAATAAAATATACAAGATGAGAAAGAAAAAAAGAGTATGGGATGAGAATGAATGTTAGTACATAAAAAGCCGGTAAGGTGAACGCGGTTGATCCTTGAATTGAGGAGCTGGTTCTAGTTGGAAATATTTGAACTGAATTTTGTTGGATTCACAGAAATGCATATCAGCCAAAGAAATAGCAACAGAAACTCCACATTTTTCACTACAAAACAACATCGAATCAACTATTTGTAAGAACAAAAATCAATGAAATGAATGACAGAGAGTAGAAATAAGAGTCACGAGTTGAAAAAAGCACTTCCATCATGAGCGCGAGAAATAGCGTAAACCCTTTTTCTAACCCTTCTTCGTGCCGTTGGAGAGAGGGTTAGCGATGATGATGATGAAGGCTGTTGTGGTTATGAAGAAAGAAAATAAACTTTTTATTTCCCAAATTGCCCTTCAAAGTTTTAATTTGATTTTCATCTCAAAAGTGTAGAAACTTTTCCCGCTATAAACGAAATCAACCTTTCTTGTGGCAGAATATGATGGGACACTTACTTTTTAGAAGAAGAGGCATTCCTTTTTTCTTTTTTTTTTAACATAGCATGTGCTGTTAAATTCAGATCAAATATTTTTTTAAATAGAAAAATGCTTTTTTTAAGAGTCGGTTTATTAAAAATTATTTACTACTACTATTCGTCATGAAAAATCATTTTAATTCTATCACATGAGTTTATTTAAATAAAACAGTATTATTTGTTGTTACTATTATCTCAGTCTCAAATTATATATTCTTTTATAAATATTAATGTTTATTTTTTATAATATTTATTATTCTCATTTTTAAGAAAATTAAATTATATTCAATAATATTAAAAAAATATAAATTTTTGAATTATTTTTTGTGTATAAAATTAATTATATTCTTAAGTATGTATAAAATAAATAGAACATTTTAAAATTTTGAAATAAAAGAACTACAGTGTAATTATTATAAAAAAACAAAACTGTTATGGCCTGGGTCTCGGGCTGACACGCGGGCCCAGCCCAATAATGTCCCGCCAGGCCCTATCCTGTCCGGGCACCGCGTCGGGCACGAGGTCTCCGACAAGTCAGAAAGGCCTCTCTGCGAGGAAGGTCTACCCCAACTACGTCGGGCTGGAGACTCCCCGCTCGGCGAACTCTACCCTCCGAGGACAAGACCTGCCCCCCGCGGGCAGAACCCGCCCTCCTGTCGGACAGGACAACGTGTCCTTCACATGTTCTCCACGTGCTCCCCTCCGCGGGGACACGTCACCTAACCAATTGCCCACCTCCGAAAGAGCAGGTCAAACCCACTTTCCGGAGATCACGGGACAGTTGAACAAGGGCGAAGACCACGTTCTGGTCTTCATTACGCCACGTAAGCTCTAGCAGTCACTTGGGTTGGGCTTGACCATCCAGCCCAACACAAGTGACCGTTGGCCCAGCGCTGGGGTCTCTCTATAAATACCCTCTTCCACAAGAGGGCTAGGTAACACATTTCTTACCCCTTTTCTGTACTTTGCTCTCACTCTGCCCAATTCCTTACTTTGGCATCGGAGTGTCTTGTAGGTACACCCCCTTTCTCCTCCTCATCACCGGTGAACAGGTAGCAGTCCAACAGCGTGTGGCCAACCCGTGATCCCCTTCTGATCAGGTCAGATCAGTGGTGCCGTCTGTGGGAACAGAAACTTCCCCGTTACTCCGAGCAGAGAGGCCTTTTTTGCGGCCATCAACCAGACGAACCAGCTATTGTTTCAGCAGAACGCACGAATTGGAGCGCTGGAGCGGGAGGTCCCCCCAAGGTCCCCTTCGCGGGAAGACCAGAATGGGGGCTCGAGGAGTCCCTCGCCTCAGCCCAGAAATCGACGACCTCGGCTGGAGAGGCCCCGAGCGGGAGTAGTGCGGGAGCGCACCAGATCCCCGACGAGACAAGTTCGCGGGAGGCGGCAGAACACGACAGCAATCCCGACCAGGCCTCCGCGCGTCGAACCCCCGGTCAGAAGGCCGAGGACCCGAAACCAGGTGCCTATATTGAACGGCCCATCTCCTCCTCGATCACCCGCTCTCAGCGACGAAGATGACTACAGGACTCCCTTGTCCCGGGAAATCATGGCCGCCCCCATTCCCCACGGGATGGAGAAGCCCCCGACGCTCTCGACGTATGACGGTACCTCCGACCCGGACGATCACCTGGAAGACATTGAGGCCATGCTCGATTACCGAAACGTCCGAGGAGCTATTAAGTGCAGGCTATTCCCGACGACCCTAAGGAAAGGCGCCATGACATGGTACAAATGGCTAGAGCCTAAATCGATTACGTCGTGGAGGATCCTAAAGGACCTATTTTCAAAACACTTCACAGCGTCCCGACGCCACCCGAAGACAGAAGCCGCCCTCGGCGCGATAATCCAAGCCCCCGACGAGCCTCTCCGAAAGTACATTGAAAGATTCACACGGGAAGCAGTGCAGGTGACGACGTCAGACGAGATGAAATGTTATCTAATGGAGCAGGGTCTACGCCGCGACTCCAAGTTCTACGAGGCTGTGGGCATACACCGACCAGCTTCCCTGCAGGATTTCCTCGACAGAGCCGCGCATTATATCCGGTTCGAGGAAACCCAAGCAGCCAACTCCGCTCGAGACACCCGAGACAGGGAGGCCCCCCGCGGGCACCGAGATGACGGAGCCTCAAGCCAGCGGCGGGGAGGTGACCTCCGTCCGGAAGATCGCCCCCGCGAACAACGCGAACAGCGCGGCCCCGCCGCCCGATTCACGGAATACACGGCCTTAGTCGCTTCTCGCGAGCGCATACTGGCCGAGTGCGCCAAAATCGGATTTTCCTAGGGAGGTGTTCGCTTCCCCAGGCCAACGCCCCCCAAACCCAATGTGGACAAGTCGAAATACTGTCGATTCCACAGGAGCCACGGGCACGTGACGGAAGACTGCATCCATCTCAAGGACGCGATCGAAATCCTGATTAAGGACGACCACCTAAAGAGGTACACCCGGGGGATGAGGCCCCGAGGCAAGAAGCCCCCGAGGCCAAGAAAGTCGAAGAGCTCCCCTCTTCCGACGGCGACAACGGACTCCAGGTCGCACTGTGCGTCAGCCGCCTCGAGGACTGGTTCGCGGACAGAGAGTTCGGTCTCCCCGACGGCCCCGACCTACCCAGCGAGCCGGTATGGCCAACCAGCCGGTGGGAATATTTTGCTAGAGCCATGGTCATCTCGGGCGGCGCCACAAGGAACCTGTCCATAGGATTGGTGAAAAGAAAATTCGACGAGCTTATCACAAGCAACTCCTGTAAGATGAGCACGCTCGAAAGATTTCACGGTCGATCCAATCCGATCACATTCTACCTCGAGGAACTCCCCGGAGGCTCCCCCAACTCCAACATCCCCCTGCTGATACGGGCGCGGATGGCGAACTTCGACGTCAGACGCATCCTTGTCGACGGAGGCAGCTCGGTGGACATCATGTACACCCACCTCTTCACGACCCTCCAACTCGACGAATCCAACTTGTCCCCTTACGTAGGCTCCGACCTTCAGGGGTTCAACGGGACGATGACGAGACCTTGGGGGTACGTGGAGCTGAAAGTCACTTTCGGGGAAGAGGAAACGGCCAGGGAGATCAGCATTCGTTTCTTAGTCATCGAGTGTCCGTCCCTCTACAACTGTATCCTGCGCAGAACGAGGATAGCATAACTCACCGCGGTGCCTTCCACCGTCCACCTAAAGATGAAGTACTACACAAAGCGGGGGGTCGTGGTGACCCTGAACGGGGACATCGAGGCCGCTCGGAGGTGCTTTGAGGCTGCGCTAAAAGGTTTGGACACCATTGCTCCAGCAACTAAGAAGGCAACCCCAACCATGACGCCGAAGAGCGAACCAAAGGAGCTCGTCGGATCCGTGGACCTCGACAGCCGCTTCACCGAAGAGCACGATCACGAAATAAGGACCAGCGAAGCCAACCAGTCCAATGGGCAGCCCATCCACCCGACACGCCCCATCCCGGACGGTGAATTCGAGATCGTCACACTCGGGGAGGACAAGAGCAGAACCGTGAAGATCGGCGCCAGACTCCCAGACTTAGCGAAAAAACAGCTACAGACCTGTCTCCGCGAGAACGCCGACCTCTTCGCCTGGAGCGCCGCAGAAATGCTCGGACTCGACCCCGAGGTCGCCTGCCATCAGCTGTCCATCAGCCCGACCGCGAAGGCCGAAGTTCAACGTAGGCGTAGACAGTCCCCCGAAAAGTCGGCGGCGACTGAAAAAGCTGTAAAAGACCTCTTAGAGGCGAATTTTATTTCGGAAACCCGGTATTCAACCTGGTTGTCCAACGCTGTACTCGTTAAAAAGAATAATGGAAAATGGCGCATGTGTGTTGACTATACCGATCTCAATCGGGCATGTCCTAAGGACGCCTACCCTCTCCCCGACATCGACAAACTCGTTGACAACTCCGCGGGCTTCAAGCTCTTGTCCTTCATGGACGCATACTCGGGGTACAACCAGATCCCGATGGCCGAGCTCGACAAACAGAGCAAAGCCCTCCATGGTCCCAAAGTCCGATATCAACTGATCGAAAAAGTCTCCCTAGCCCTCATCACCGTCGCACGACAGCTCAGACATTACTTCCTAGCACACACCATCGTGCTCCGCACCGATCAGCCCATCCGCCAGCTCCTCGACCGACCCAACATGGCTGGACGCATGCTGAAATGGTCGTTAGAGCTATCTGAGTTCGACATCGTCTATGAAGGCCGGAAAGCCATCAAAGCCCAGGCCCTGGCCGATTTTGTTGCCGAGATGACCTCCTCACCAGACCCTACCACGGGGAGCCACATATGGACCATTTTCGTGGACGGTTCCTCCAACTCCACGGGCAGCGGAGCAGGCATCATCCTCGACGACGAAGAGGGCACCATCATAGAGGTTTCCCTCACGCTGGCTTTCCTGACGACTAACAACCAAGCCGAGTACGAAGCGTTCCTGGCCGGACTTCGCCTGACATCGGACCTCGGGGCCAGAGACATTAAAATCTACACAAATTTCCAGCTGGTCACCTCGCAAGTACGAGGAGAATATCAAGCGAAAAACGACAACCTCACCGAATATTTAGCACTCATCACCGAAAAAATACAAAGTTTCGACTCTGCGGAGATCCAGCATGTCTCGCGCGAGCAAAACACCTGAGCCGATATTCTC